CTTCTACTGGAAGGTATTTCCTTATCTTGTCTGTAGCCCGACCTTTTTCTTTCACTATTTGAAGTCCACAGGCAAAACCCAGCAATGCTGGATCTGTCCCTGCTGGGAGGGACTGACACATGCAGAAAGGGAAAAGGCACCAGTCCCTGTTTGCAGCACTCAGGGCACATGTCTGAGGCTTGTTTGGCTGAGACATGAAGGCAAAGCTACAGCCATGGACTGTGGCCCAACACAGATTAAAGCAGGTTCAGCCACTCCTCCTCCAAACAAACCCTCCATCCTGAGGAACTGGGAGCAATGAGGAACAGCAGGGGCTGGCACAGCCCTCAGCAGACATTCCTGTTGGCACAAGGGGTGTCTGGGTACAGTTATAAATGCACTGCTGCCCAGCAGAGCATGGAAACAACCTGCTGCTGCTCCTCTTTGGTGTCACAGTGTTTTCCTGGGAGTGGCATGGTTTGGTTTCCCTGTCTGCACAGAAAAATGACTGTTCTGTAAGCTCAGAGTGAGATATTCCCTTCTCATACTTATCCCTTCAGATTTTACAATGACAGCATGCTAAGAGGGAACAGAAGGACTGAATAATGCAGAAAACAGTTTGGCACATCTGGAAAAAATGCCTCTGTGTTTCTTTCTGTAAATGTTGCGAACAGGTGGGAAGTGCAGCTGTCTGAAAAACTTCATCTTATTCCCAGGAAGAATTTTGATTATTTTTTTAATCATCCCCAAAAGTGAGATTCTTCAGTTTTGAGGTGATTCTCATTTGCAAAAAATGCTGTTTAAAAGACAGAGAGTGACAGACACTATGAAAAAAGAGTAAAAAGATCTGTGCAAACACAACTTTTTAAAAAAACGCAGAATTAAGATGGAAGAATCTTACCATACCCTGACAGAGAGAGCCTTCTAGCAATAATTTCCAAGATCTCCATAGGCTGATATGCCACAGGAACTAAAAGTCTTGACATCTAGTGAGACTTTCACCCTTTATTTCAAGGTCACAGTAACTTCAATGCACATGATTTTAATGGGATCAAGAGGGGACTGTCACCTGTCACCCCGTGGGTGGTGGCCTGTCTTGGGACTGGTGCTTCGTGAGGATCTCTATTCTGTTCTCTTAACCACAAACTGTGGATTAATATTGAAATAACCCTTAAAATTCCTACAGCATTGCACCCATGTGGAGATAGGTGACTTTAAATGCACCTTTAAGCAATTGTGGAAATTTCTATGCTAAGAAGTTATTCATACGAAATTGTTATTCATATGAAATTGTTATTCATATGGAATTGTGATAAAGCTCAGAACATGAACCAGAATTTGAAAACCGTGGCTTTTGGCTGCCTTTCAAAAAAGGTATTTTATTTTCACCCTGCATTTGGTAATCCAAAATGAAAATCTAAGTGAGATGGAAGGGTAACTACTATGTGCCATGTTGCATTGATTGTAGAAGTTGCTTTACATAGTTCTGGGAATGCACAAGTTGCCACAATCTTTTCGTGCTTTCATTTATAAAAATCTTGCACAATAAGGTGGCTGTGGGCAGATATTAATACTAATGCATGAGACAACTCCTTACCTTGTATGTGCAGGGCTGTTTTGTGTAGATGGTTTCTTCACGTGGGTTCATCACTTCTCCTCCAGTTCTGTCTTCATTCCCTCTCCTTTTACTACCTGACTTCATCAAGTCTTTACTTTTCTGCTTGTCCAAAAAGTACCCTGCAAACCTACAGGGATAAATAAATAGCATCAGTGATAAATGCTTAATCAGTTATCTTGTAGTTCTTGGCCTCAGCATTGGCTCTGTTGGCTTGTGCACAAACCAGCCCTGCAGGTGTGGTGAAGCCTCCAGTGTGGTGTCCCACAGGATGGGTGTAGAGCAGCAGCACATGGGGGTGTTTTTATTGAGCTACAGATGCATTTTTATACAAAAATGTGTAAAAAAACAAAGATTCCTTAGTAATCAGTTAAAGCAGTTGGCATTTTTCATGGATGTACAGAAAAGAAGTCTACTTATTTTAGAGTTCATTTAGTGAAGCTTATTGCCAATCTTATTCTTTTCATAATGAAGCCTTGCTGTAATCCCACCTCTGCTCTCCTAAATTCCTCAGTTCAAACGTGGAGATAGCAGTTAAAATTAAATGCTACCTTCATGGAAACCACCAGTTCTCTTATTCCTGTGAATTTTCATCCTTGAGCTTCTTGGGCTAATGATAAATAGCTGATTCCTTCCCTTCCTTGTGCTTTTTCTCCAAACAACAACAAAAAATTGCTCCGTTAAATTCCAGTTCAAATTAATGGAAGTCTGGGGGAGAAGGAACAGACAAACAAACAAGGAAGTGTTTTATATTTGGGTTTTTCGTTTCATCTCGTGGCAGATGGGTTTGGTGTTTTTTACAGCCACCTTTTGAAATCAGTATGTTATTTTGTCATTTCTTTGCAGGAGAGTAACAGCTCTGAATCTTTATCATATTGATCGTTTCACAGCCCTTCGTCTGGGGCCCAAGATAATACAGAGCATTGTTATTGCATTATTATTTTTCATTTGTATCCTATTGATTTGCTGCCAGTAACTTACAGGTCAATTTGCAAAAAGATGGGCTATGATTTATTTTTTTTCTGAAGGATTATGCCACAATGGGAATGCTTTTATAAGGCTGTCAGGTCTTTAGGTTTGTTTTTTCTTCTCTCGGGAGTGCAGCACATTTCTAGACTGGTGGCACGGTTCCACCTGGATTTACACCCAGAGTTTCCATGACTCTCACATAATTCATATGGATAAGTGGCTGTACACAAGCCTACCCTTAAATTGGAATTTTACTCCCGGGGAATGGTTCTTTTCTCACTTAGAAATAACGCACAAAGTCAATATAGTTACACTGATGTAAAAGAGAGGGGAGAGGAGACTTTATCAGTCTGAACACAACAAGCTCCCAAGGTTTAACACCCCCAAATGGCAGGTGCTAAAAACAGACACGAAAAATTATTTTTGGTACCATCTTTTTTGTTTGCCATAGTAACAACAGTTTACTACCAAGTAGTAGTAGTCCAGTTACTAACAACTTGGTACTTAGAAGGCCCACTCTTGAAACAAAATAAGGACTCTTAATCAAATGTTTTCCTTATTTATATTTGACTTACCATCGTTAGAATGTAGCTACTAGGAAAGCATGGATTATAACAGTATGCAAAATTGCACAAGTACTTTTAATTCCTTCTGTATAAAACTCCTGCTAAATAATGTACACAGGGTGAGTTTTTTAATTACTCAGTGCAAAATGTGTTAAATGCCGTAGCTGATGTATACATCCACCGTGATTTGTACTATTATTTTTCCCTGGAACCCATCCACGTAAATCAAACCCACAGTGAGGGACTTCCAGTTCATGTTCTGCTTACAGTGTATTGAATTTTCCTGGCATCCTTTCAGCAGGAGCAATTTGGCAAGAGAATTTTTTTTGGTAGCACTGAATACCTTTTTCTGCCAGTGAATATTTTCATGTTTGGAATTGGTGTGATGTTTTATACTGGATTGTGGTACAGAACTGGGTGCTGGTGCTAAACCATCCTCTTACCAGCACAGGTCACTGGAATAACCTTCTCAGTGTGGGAAATTTTATTCTAAATTGTAGATCATTGATGGAGCTCAAAGCAAGACACAGCCCAATTAAATTTCTCATTCATATCGTGTCCCATGACAAGAAAATTATCAAGTAGCTGAATTGATGCCCTTATGTTGTAGGAATATTTAAAAGAATGTTTTAATACGTTTTCTTCTCTTACTTGCCCAGGTTTTGCTTCACATTTTGACACCATTAGGGGTCTAATACAACTATACTAGACAGGAGTGAGGTCAAATGAGATTTCCTGCTTAAAATGGACATGTGAAGTCACAAAATGTGCTGGGAGTGACTGTTAAATGCAGCACAATGTTTCATATATATATATTCATATATATATATATGCATGTGCAGCTAAATATTTTAGTATGCATTTATATTAATATTTGAGAAACAAAAATGACCATGTTCCAAGACTGCTGGAAGTTTTCTTAAACACCATTGAATGCTATAGTGCTATTTATAGACAGAGGAAAAAAAGTAATTTTTTTTGTTGGTAATATTCATGAGTGTTTTAGTGAAGCTGAGATTTTTATTTTTTTTTTTAATTGAAAAGGAATTTCCTTAAAAAAGCCAAATCCTTTAATTTGTTACTAGGGAATCTCTAAGTTTTTTACACATTTTTATATGACAATGTTTCTGAATATTATATTCAGAACATCTAAGTTGTAGTTTCAAAGTTTTTCCTCCTTCACAAGAATGAAAGATGTTTCAAATTGGTCAAAATCTGTTTCAGTAGGTCTCTGTCAGTTCTGTTTCTGTTAACACAAGTCAGCTTCTGTTAACAAACACAAGGAGTTTAAAGTTAATGCTTTAAAGTTAAACATTGTTTTATAAATCAAAGCAACTGTTTTCCACCAAACCTGACTTCTGCTTTATTTCAGAGTCCTGCAAAAGTATCTGCCTTATATCTGCCAGTAAATTGTGAAAACAGTTTGTGCTTTCCTCAGTTCAGTTGTACTTCCCAAGAAAGGGAGATTTAGCAAGAGTTTTTAAGTTACCCAGGCACTTAGAAAAGACCCCAAGCACTTTTTACAATGATGAATGAGGATATTTATTCCTCAACTCAGATTTAGTGATTGACTCAGACATTCTGACTGCTACAATGACACTGAAGTTGGGATATTTGAAATGAATCAGTGAGCAGAACACTGAATTGAACTTATTGCTGATTTACTACCTGATATCTGCACAGAACCCAACATTTCTGATTTCCTCTTTTAAATCTGGCAGCTCAACCATATTTATAGTAAGCCTTGCTTCACTCTTTGATTGTGAACAAGTAAAAAAGCAATGAAATATTAGTTACACAAATGTCTATCTCTAAAAATTCTCCACGGGTGATAAATAATTAATCAGATTATTTACTTTTTTTTTTTCCAGCAATAATATACAGTGCCTGAGTTAAGAGGTGACTGCTACCATGGAAGTTCTCTATTTCCTGCACTGTTTCTGGTTTGGTGCAGCCCTGGACAATGTCAGGTGGGTCAGCTCCTGTCAGGGTAGGTGCATCCTCCCCCAGCCAGCAGGTCACTGAAGGGTTACTGATGCACCATCTGTTGACTTGGCTACTAGAATGGGAATAATTTGTGGCAGGATCCCAAATGATGAATTAACATTCAAATTTGTTTTGGGGATAAACATATTTATAAAGCTGCAATGCAATTACTTAATGCTATTACCAGATAATAAGGGAACTCTTCTGGAATTTTGTTGTCTGTAAAGATATCCTTACTCTTTGCTAACTTAGGAAAGTACATTACAGAGCTTTGGCAAAATCCCCACCTTTTATACAGTGCTATTCCAGAAGAACTTCCCAAGCAAATCAAGTAATGCCTCTGCACATCAGAGCCTTCATCATCTGAGTTTTGCCCTCACATGCAGAAGCAAAGACGACATTCATATTATAATAACCTCGAACCTAAGTTCAAGTGGTGTTGCAGAACTGGGGAAACATATACCCATAAACTGTTTTCCTGGCATAGAGAAGCCAAAATTTCATGCTAGATCAAATCATGTAGATTAAATGTCAACAGCCATAACCTTCAAGCAGGACTTGCAAACTCAGTCACTGGATTATGCTGGACCAGTCTAATTCTTCATAAATCTCTTCTATGTCTTTTGATATCATTAATGAATTTCTATGATAGTAAAATATATGAGATAATATAAACATTAAAAAGGGACAGCAAATTAATCTTTTTAATATAATCTCTCTTAGGAAGCAAGTGCTTCCTTAATATGAAAATTCATTGGCAGAACCTAGAAGTGAGTAATGGGTGCACTCCAGTGAAGAGGACATCTGACTGTGAACATCAAAGCAACTTGTGACTGTTGGGTTGTGTTTGTGTTCTCACAGAAAATCTGTCATTCAGCAGCATCGGGGCATTTGTAGCTTGGGCACCTCAGGCTATACAGTCTCACAGTGTAGCAGCCTGTCTGTACAAATAACTCTCTCCTGATATTTCAGGTTTCCAGATTTTTGTTCTTCCATGTTGATCTGGAATATGTTTACAAAATACACATGTATGTGCAGTTTATATTGCTAGGTATGGGGGTTTTTTTCCTCAGTAAAATATAAACTGTGGCACGAGGCTACTCAAAGGCATTTTTTCTGCTGAAGTTGCAGCTGAACTTAGTAGCCAAGTTTATTCTGTCCGTGTCTGGTCTGTAATTCATGAACCTCCCTTTTTTGTAGCCAGAAGGTTCCTTACTCTCTTTTTATTAGTCCTTTTGGGAATACATAATAATGATTTTCTTAAGATATTTGTATGACTTCCAGGACCTGTACCAAAAAATACTTTTTATTTTTTCTCTCCTCCCAGGGATGTGGTGTCACCACTGGAAGATCTCAGGAAGGACAATTCGATTTTGAAGTGAGTCCTGGTGCTTCTTTTTAACAATTAGTATTCCTGTTTCCTGTGGTTCCTCCTTTATAATGAGGTCTAAACATGTCAAGTCATTCTGGCATATTCCCCTGAAGTATTTTGCTCTCCAAAGACAGCCATGGGGATATTCAAACATTTCTGAGTTAGTTCAGGCTGAGGTAACAACACACGTTTTATCATGGAAGCAACACACCGAAGGAAGTGTCAGGGTTTCCACTTCTGAGGGATTCTAGGCCAGGCCTTGGTGCCTTTTTGCATCTTTCACCCGGGGTACCTGGATGGATTCCAGGGCCACACAGTGAGGTTATTTACCATGTGTTGTACAGGTGGTGAGTCTAAATGATCTAATGATCTTATGGCCAGAAAATTTCTCAATCTACATAATATTCTTGACCTTTTCCTCTGTCGCTCGTTTATCTGCACTTGGAGAAGGCTGGCACGTGGCTTCTTTTATTGATGGCTTGCTGCATGTCCTAGGATCACTGTTAATGTGCTGTAATCTTTATACAGCCATTAAAGCACTATTAGAGACCTCAGACTTGGACTTTATATGGTCGTTGGAAGAGTTTTATACAGGTTATTATCATGTTCCTCTGTCTGGAACTGTTCAGCAAACGCCAGGCAGCAATTACACAAAGGGTTACTTACCATCAAACCTGTACACAGGGAGTTGGTGAGATATATTTCAGAGGTATAATTCACCCATCCACCAGAGCACAATAAAACACCTTCTTTATTTCTGATTTTATTGGTTCTGTCTGCTCTCATCTGGTGCCTGAACATTTTATCTGTTCATGCCGCTGTTTTCTAATGCAATAAAAAGAGCAGACAGGATTTTGCCCTTTATTTAAAATGTTTTGCTGCATTTAGAGGTAAATAACAGCCACTTTTTGTGTTGTATATTTTGAGACTTCTCTGAGAAAGAATTGTTTTGATAGTAAGCAGGCTCTACAGGGTCCAACCATTGTTTAATATGAACAATCTCTTCCTAACATCTTATTTTTCCTTTGCTCTGATATGAACCTGTCCCTCTCCCCTTCCATCAGCTCATGCCGTATGTGGGTGGTTTCCAAAGTGTGGTAGTGCTCAAACACAGCTCTCACCCCACAAACCAAAATGAGAGCTGGGTACTTGCCCTCAGGCTTAGGAAGAGACATCTCTGGGAGTCAGGCACCTGAGTTCCTTCATTAATAATTAAAGCAAAAAAAGGAGAGGAAGGCTCTGGCTCCTAGTTCTTACATGAATGGAGTTTAAATCATTTACATGAGGAATTCAGCGAGCAGAGATCCTCACTTTCAAGCAGATATATCTTTTCAGGAACAAGCTGACACTGAGCACCAAAACAGATCACAGGAACTACAACAAAAAGCAGTGTTCTGCCAAAGCTAAAGGCTGAGGAGTCTGCCAGGGAGAATGATGGAGCAAAAGGGAGTGGTATTATAACAGGTAGAGGGGGGAAAAGAAGGAGTGGAAAGTGTAAGAAACTGGAAAAGACTTTAAGAGACATAATGCTGTTTAATGGGGCAGAAACTGAGAGACAAGTGAACTACAGTGCAGTGATCAGCATTTTGTCAAGACGATTTGTAAAAGGTGACAAGTTGTAGATTAAACGCTTCGATTCACCTTTATGTCACTCTGCCTGTGCACTTGTGTCGTTCTTTTAATGTAATAACCTCCACTAACACTCATAGGCTGCAGCATAATTTCGTTGACCTTAAATTAAGGAAAAAAGGATGTGATTCTGGAATTTGAAGCCTGCAGTACTTTACTGGCTAAAGGGTAAAATAAAGAAGTGTAGCTTAATGACGTTTTCATGTCACGTGATGAATCCAGGCTCATGCATCATAGGAAGTCCAAAACAACTTGGTTCGTATAATTTCAGCCTCTGTCTCAATCCTAAAATTGTGTTAAAATTAAAGCCTCAGTTTTTAGGTAATCTCATAATGATTTATGGGAATTGTTTTCTTTGCAACATAGAATATCATAGGATGAGAAACAGCAGTAGTTTGGGGGGATCTTTCTGCTTTCTTTCCTCTTCTTTTTGTTCCTTGCTATGCAACACTGCAGAAATGCAATCTAAGTGAATAGAAGAAAGGCAACTACATTAGGTTAACAAGTGAGGAAAAAAAGTCAATCTTTCAGGCTTTAGAGGAGCTGATAAAGGAAAAAAACCGTGCCTGCAGTAGAAAGCCAAAAGATACCAAACAGCCTGAGATGTGCTTTCACAAACCAACAAAGAACATAAACTAGGGAAAAAAAATGCATTCCTCTGGTCTGTGCCCCTAAGATGGGAAACCGAAAACCTGCGAGTATAAAGCAGGTGTGGGATGGTTGTCAGTGGAATGTCAGCTTCCAGCAGAACGGGAATAACTCAGAGGGCTCGGGATGAGTTCTCTGCTGCCTCACACATTGTACAGTCTTTTAATCAAACCCCAGAACAAATCGTTCCCAGCCACAAAACACACATCAGACCACGAGAAAGAAGATTACAGCACAAATGGTGCTTTACCAGGATTTAAGATCTAAAACTAGTACTAAACAGGGTTCAGCTTGAGTAATGATCTTAGTTCCTTCCTTTTCCCTTTCTCCTGAAATATATTTACCTTCATACATACGTATTGCTTCACAGGCTTCTAGAGATCCTCAGAGGATCCATCCTTGAAGCACTTCCATCCTGGAAGTGCTCTGACCTTTAGATATTGACAGAGGAGCTGTGTATTCTCATGTTCTATAGTATGTATTTACAATAATGGCAGTTTTTCCATTCCCTTTGTAAATAGTTTAATTTCTACATATTTCTATGACTTCAGGATATAGTTGTCCTTCCATAATATATAATATTTCTATCAATTCTTTTAATCTAGGAATGCCAATGCTGTCCCACATATTGATAAACACATTATACCATTTAAACCATGTCACTCATCCAAAAGGAAAAATGCCCAATAATCTGTAATATGAGGCTATTAATTTATCCACAGAGGCAATACTGCACGCACGGCTTGACTGATAAGCAGCTTCTGTCTCCTGTGGTCAGTGGTAATTCCTTTTCCATATCAGCCATGTGTTGGACCTTGGGTTTGCACATTTTGACACTGGTGCCATATTATAGGTAACAGCTTTGGAATGTGGACTATCCTCTAACGAGGATCACACACCACTACCAAAATAATTTCAGTTAGCGCTCCAATTAACTGTAGAACTGAACTCCAGGGGTAGTAACCAGTGTCTTATCAATTTCATTGTTTGGTGCCCATGGATTTTTTTTCTTTAGAATATTTTCAGGGAAGGATATGAGATACACCTTTTACCTCTCTGTTTTTGTCTCTTTCCATGGTATATCAATATATCACATCAATCCCTTCAACAGCTGAGAGGAATCCAACAGAAAAATCTTCAGTCTTCTGGGCCCCTAAAAGAAGCTTTTTACCTCAATGTCTGGAGCAATACTTCTGAAAATATTTCTGTAAAATTCTCCTTTTAATTCTTGATCATGCTCAGACACATTAGACTGATACAAAACCCCCTAACTAACTTCACCAGCCTCGGTGGAATAGCCAAAGTCTCTGCCAACTTTGCACTATCAAAGCATAATTATATTACAATTATAAATATAATTATCACAGGACATTGGCTTCACAACCTGAATCTTCATGCTGAGGGCAGATAATAGCATTTGTCTAATATTTTCTTGACACAGGGACTGATAACTCCAGGCTTCGTGACGGACCAAATCCTTGCTCTCCCCAGTTCCTTGGAGCTGAAGGTGCTCACCCACACTCAGAGTTTAGTAAGTGAGACTGGATTATGTTTCTACTAGCAGAGCTGCTGTTATGGAAATTCCTATTCCAATGCACTTCCGTAGAGAGAGAAATACAGACAAAAAAAAAAATCAAGTTAAAAACTAGAAAGCAGCATTTCTGTGCCAGTGTAGCAAGCAAAGAGGTGAGTGAGTGAAATACCAACAGAGAGGAGAGGAAGGTCACTGTCCCGAGGGAGAGCAATGCCAGATGGCCACAAGCACAAATTAAAAATTCTGCAGATATGAATTTTACTCTCACCCTTTGATTTTTTTAGCATAATTTGCACTGCAGTTTATTTTCATGGCCATTGGGGGGTTGGTAAAGGGCCAGATTGCTCTAAAGGGAAAATATTTTAATGTCTACATAGAGTGGGATATTCATATTGTCAGCATTAAACCTACTCAGATCAGCACTGTCTCCTGAGATGACAGTGGCAATAAAAGAGCCACCTGAGGGTCTCTTACAGCTGAGATGCAAATGCCCTCTCCCTTTTCTTGTAAAACAAAGCATGTGCACAGATCTCCTAGATGTGGTTGGGCACCACTGAAACTTTGATTTAACTGCATTTCTGTGCTGAATCAAAATTTTCAATGGCAAACTGAGAACATTTTGGCCCTGAATAAGAAGAGACATTTCTTAATAACTGCAACTAGCTGCTTCAGAATTAAAACAAATGTTGACTGCACATTCATCCTGGCAAAAATAGAAGAACTGACCTTAGTAATGATTAATGGGGAGTACACCCAGATGTACATTTGAAACATTTGCATTTCAAGCACCAGAGAATAGTTTTTCCTCCCTAATGTTGCATAAAGAATAGTCAGTAAACTGCCATTCCTGTTTAGGTTGGATCTATATAACTGAGCAACCAGCGTTTCAGATTTTATTTCACTTCACAATCTTCTGAGTTTTTCTTCTACCGTGTTGTTTTTATTTTCTGGACATATCCAATTTTGCTTTTACAGGAGATAAAAATAATAAAAGAAATCTTATGGTAGAATAGCGGGAAGCAAATGACATTCGTGCATTTTTCATTGATCCTTGAAAAATTAGATGAGCCTCAGACATACTTTTGGATTTATCTATGCTGTGTTAGGGTGCTCTCAAAGAACCTTAAGGAAACAAATTCTCTGTTTTGCCTGCTATTTGTGGTAGGGGCAAAGAAGAACAAAATGAAATATCAGACTCAATGGCCTAAAAACCTGATAAACCTGTAGGAGAAAGATGTTTTCTGCTGCATCATTTGTCATAAATGAAGTTATTAGGATTTAAAAAAAAAAACCCTCAACCCTCGCAGCCTTTGCCAGAAATGGGACAGACACAGTAATCTTGAAACAGTTATTCCTTCAGTCTTTCTAACCTCTGAAGACAACTAAATTAACACAGAAATTGGAGCTCTCACACACCCTACAGCCAACAGCTCCCAAAATTATGAAAACCTTTATTGATTCAATTTATTACAAATGCTGTCCTGAAGCAGCAAAGTGACTCTGCACTGATTTATTTAATCCTTTTACCTTTTGGCTGAGGGTATGCTTTGGCTTTGCATGGTCCCACTGAAGAGCAATGGAGAGCATAACAAGGATTACTTAGTCATGAAATCATCAAAGCATCTGCTAAGACTGTTAGGTTGGGTTTTTCTCTTCCTACCGTGTTGGTGGACAATATTCTCAGACTGTGTTCAGGCTGCCTGGTCTGTTTACCTGGTCATTTTTAATTCTGCACTGTCAATTATCACATTATTATTATTTGTCAGTTATCACTTCAAACACAAGTATCAATATTGGTACTTTCTGCATGTTTGGAGCCTTTTATGGATGTGGCTCCAGGGTTTTGTATTTACAAGCAAACCTCAATTCATATTTACACTGTTCATTTTGATCTGTGAAACAGAGGAAAAAATCACAGAATCACTAAGGTTGGAAAAGCTCTCTAAGACCATCAAATCCAACCATTCCCCCAGCACTGTCAAGGCCACCACTGAACCATCTCCCTGAGTGCCCCGTAAGTGTCCCCCAGGGTGGGACTGACTACATGTCCCAGGAGGGCCTGCAGATCCTAAACTGACATTTCTGGAATCAGGAATCTCCAAAGTCTTTCTAACAACATACTCCATCCGTTCTTGTCACTTTTTATTCAGTGCAGGTACGAAAATTTCTGAGATGGACATTGAAAAGCAATACATAAAAATCCAAGACAAATGATCATAAATGGCCCTGATGAGAAACCAGATCATATGTAATTTAATGGAGGTAGAAGGTCATTCTAGACACGGTAAATATAATAGCACAAAGCAAACAGGCAAAGCACATCCTTGTGTCATTGTGATATTGAGATTGAAAGATCACATGCTTAAAATAACTTAAAAGGAAAATAAAAAGCACTCAACAAGTGGAAAGCCAGATTTTTCTCTGCAAGTGCCATAGGTTTTGGGCACCCAGACCTGAAACATCAGTCATCCATCACCCTCAGGAGTCCTGCTTTCGTCCTGCTTTGGAGCATACACCAACAGTTCAGACTGAGATTAAGGGCAGCATTTGGAGGGGAAAAGGAGTGGCAGCTGTCCCCTCCAGTAAATAGTGGCACTTAACACCAGAGAGTGCTGGCTGTTCTATCTCCTTTAAGAGCTAAAGAGATACACATGCATGTTGTCAGGAGTTCACCCATAGAATACTCATGTACATTTTCAGCCACATAGGGATTGATAATGTTTCCTACAAACGAATTCAGGGTGCTTCTGTATGTTAGAGTATTAATGTTATTTTAATTATGAAGACAAATAAATGAGTCACTGACAGTGGTATTTAATGTGACAAGAGCACATGTAAGGGTGGCTCTGCAAGGGGCTGGTGACTACACTGACCCCCATAGCTCCACTGTCCCCTTTGCATGTGGGAAGGGTTATTTATACCTGCTTCCCCCACCATTCAATACATTCACTTGAAGATGGGCACAAAGGTATTAAAACAAAATTATCCCTGTGCAGAAAAGAAGCCAAGTTTCTCCTGGTGCTCTGGACAGTCCCTAAATGGAAGAGCTGTAGTTTTTCTCCATTGCTGGTAGCACAGCAAATCTCCTTACAGCAGCTAAAGAAATCCAGTAAGCCTTCCGTGTTTTCCTTAATGGTCTCTGATTTTCAAGAAGTCCCTTCTACTGTTATTCATTCCCTAAAAATGGGCAGCTGTGGCACTGTGAGAAATAGCAGCATATTCCTTGGAAAACAGCCAGGAAAGGACCGAAGTGGGTCCCAGGCTGGGGTTGCCCCTTCCAGGCTATTATGTGTCATTCTGTTAGAATTCCCAATTCTTTAGGCACCTAATTGGCTCCGAGGAGTTCAACCGTGTGCCTGGGGAGAGCTTTGATGAGTGGATCTGGAGGAATGGAAACCCATCCACAGCCCTGAGCCCCAGCTCCCAGATCTGCCCAGCTCCTTGTACGCTCCCCTGGAGACCAGATGTTCCCCTTTGGATCAGATCCCCTGGGGCGAAGGCAGAGGTGTTTTTAAGGCACTCTCTGCCATCCCATCACAGTCATGCTCTCCCAGTCACATCCATGCCCCCCGTGGAGGCAGCAGCCTATTTCCCAGACCCTGAACAGCAGCAATTGGGGCAACACCACAGCTGGGGCCACTCTGGCTGATGGGAAAGGACCCACCCCCTGGGCTGGGGGTGGAGAGGGAAGGGGCTGGGATAGAATGGTGGAACTGTTGGGCAGTTGTGGTGCAGGGAATGCCTTGGGTGCTGTTGAGCCTCCCTGGCCTTGCTCTGGGGCTGGATCTGTCTCCTGTGGCCCTGTGAGGAGCCTGGCTGTGGTGAGAAGCCCGGCCCAGGGCAGAGGGTTTGGGTCTGGCTTGGGGCTGTGTGTGTGTGCCCCGACAGCTCCGGGAGCATCTGATTTGTCCTCCAGGACCCCCTGGCATCGCGCCGAGGAGCTTGTGGAACCAGAATACACGTCGGGCCCATCTGGGTGGCCATCACTCGCCCTGCCAGGGTCCCCGCGGTGAAGGCTCTGTGAGGGCCGCGGCTGCGGGGGCCACACAGACGTCACCGCGGTTGGAATGGATCCATAGGGATGTGTGTCCCCTGTGACTGATGCCGGGGACATGACTGCTGTGTGAGATGTGCCTGTCTCTGGGTTTAGGGCTCGGGGCTCTCTGCGATCCCGCGGCTCTGCCGGGGCGAGGGGCGGGGCGGGGGCTCCGGAACGCGGGGTTGGGGCAGCGATCGGTGTCACTGTTACTGCCGTCGGTATCGTGTGTTGTCATTGATATTACACTGTCATATTTGTCTTGGTGTCCATTATTAAACTGTTCTGATCTCACCCCGCGGGCTGTGTTTTGTCTCCCATTCCTTTCCCCAACCCACTGCGTGGGCTGGGGATGAGCGAGCGGCTGCTGGTGCGGAGCTGCCGGCTGAGGTTCGACCACCACACCGGGTCATTTTGGGGGCTTACAGAGAGAGACCCAGCGCTGCGTTCGGGGGGCTTGTAACTCAGACAGAGTCCTGCGATTCTGGGCTCACAAGCAGAGACCCACTGCTATGTTTTGGGGGCTCAGAACCAGACTCGGTCAAAAGAGAGACCGAGTGCTGCGTTTTGGGTGCTCAAAATTCAGGCTCAGAGCTTAAAAGCAGACTAAATCCTGCATTTTGGACTCCTGAAACTAGACTCATATGGCCAATTCTGGAACTCAGAAACAGCGACTAAGACCTATGTTTTCAGGGCTTAAGGCAGAGACCAAGTGCTGCATTTTGGTGGTTTAAGGCAGAGACTGAGTCTTGTACAGCATGTGGGCTTTGAAACCAGGTTTATGTGACCGGCGTTAAAACTGAGAAATGGAGACTAAAAGTCCTCCTGGCCTTAGGTGGCCACATTTTGGGCTAAGAAGCAGTGATCGATTCCTGCATTTTTGGGGGCCTGAGGAGAGACCATGTCTTGTGTGTTTGGGCTCAGAAAGGAAGACCAAACGCTGAATTTGGATGCTCAAAACCAGGCTAATTTGCACAAGTATAAAAATGGTGATTAAGTGTCAGGTGTTTTGGGGGCTTGAAACCAGGGTCACTCAGACATTTGGACTCAAAATGAGAGAAAGTTCTGCGTCTGGGGGGGGGTTGAAGTAAAGCCCAAATCCCCTGTTTTGATGCTCAAATCAGGTTAATTTGGCCAGCGAATCTCTGTTTCTCAGCTCTAAGTCCTACATTTGGCACAGTCTGAACTCGGGCTCACCCGGCCCCATCGAGAGCTCAGAAACAGCACCTCAGTGCCGCGCTTGGGGCTCGAGGCACGGCCCCTGTCCCGTGTTTTGGGACTCAAACCGGGCTCCGGAGACGGTTGTAGGGTTGAGAGCAGAGCCCAAGTCCCGCGTCTGGGGGCACTGGCAGAGCTCTACGCATCGGGCTCAGCAGGTATCGTGGGGGCTGCCCCTGCACCGGCACAGCCCCGGGTCCCCGCGGCAGGAGCGGGACCCGTGCCCGAAGTCCCCAACCCCGCGCCGGCCGCAGTCTCAGTGGGAGCGGCAGCGCCGGATTCGGCCCCAGCGCCTGCCCCAGAACGGCTCCTCTCGCTCGCGGCGGTCCCAGTCCCGGTCCCAGCCCGGCCTCGGTGCTCTGACCCCGAGACCTCCACCCCGCTCGCTGGGGGAGACGCGGCACCCCGGCGGACACCAGCAGAACTCGGGCACGACCCCCCCTGCCCCAGCCCCGTCCCCGCCTCAGCCCGCGGGCTCCGCCCAGAGGCGGGAGCAGCCCCCGGGCCGGGCTCCGGCCCCCAGCGCAGGTCCCGCCCCTCAGGAGGAGCGGCCGCGGCACGGGGCGGGGCGGAGCCGGGGCGGGGGCACGGGGGGCGAGGCCGCACAGGTGAGCGGGGCGGGGCCGCTCAGGTGCGCGGGAACCCAGAGCGGCTGCGCAGGGCGGCACCGAGAGTATTTAAACGCCGGAAGTGGCCACGGCCGCCATTTGCTCGGTCAGTGCGCGGTCGGGGTGGTCCGTTCGGGCCGGGCTCCCCCGGGGGAGCCCAGGTGAGGCGCGGGGGCTTCAGCCTGCCGTGCTCTACCCCTCTTTCCTCCTCGCTCCTTCCCCCGCTACACGACCCAGCCTCCGTTCTATTCCCGTTCTACCTTTCCTTCCTCCACCTTGCCTGCTCCTCCTCACCCGGCTTCCCGCTACACACACCCAGGTCCCTTACGCACCCTCGACCCCCCCATACCTCTTCTGTTCCCCATGCCCTTTTTACCCCTATATCACTCTCTTCCCTCTACTCCCCTTCTCTCCTCCTCTTTCCCCTATACCCTCTGTCTT